GTGCCGCTACGTGCGCCTGCTGGAGCCGCCCGCAGACCTGCCGCGCACCGTGCACAACCTCTCCATCGTCGGCGGCAACCTGACGGTGCTGCGCGCGGCCGCCTTCGCCGGCGGCTGGGCGGCGGGCGAGGCGGCCCGGCCGCTGCGCAACCTGACGCTGCTGGTGCTCACGCACGACCGCATCGCCGCGCTGGAGGAGGCGGCCTTCGCCGGGCTGCCGGCGCTGACCACGCTGGACCTGAGCCACAACCCGCTGCGCTCCATCGCGCCCGGCGCCTTCGCCGCCTGCGCCCGCCTGCGCACGCTGCGGCTCAACCAGGCGCTGCCGGCGCTGCCGCCGCTCGCGGGCCTGCTGGAGGGCGCGCTGCTCAACCTCAGCCTGGCGCGGCTGGAGCTGGCCGGGAACCGCCTGCGCGAGCTGCCGCCCGCCGCCGCGCTGCCGCCGGGCCTGGAGGAGCTGGACGTGCGCAACAACTCGCTGCGGGCGCCGCGGCCCGAGCAGCTGGCCAGCCCGGGGGCGCTGGCGCGGCTGCGGCTCCAGCTGGCCGCCAACCCGCTGCACTGCGAGTGCGCCGCGCTGCGCCCGCTGCTGGAGTGGCTGCGCAACGCCTCGTGGCGCGCGCCGGACGCGCGGGGCCTGCGCTGCGCCTCGCCGCCGCCGCTGCGCGACGCGGCCGTGCTGCGCCTGCGGCCCGAGCAGCTGGACTGCCTCGACGGGACGGGCTGGGGGCCGCTGGAGCCCGACGGCGCCGCCGCGGAGGAGCTGGAGACGGCCTCCTACGTCTTCTTCGGCATCGTGCTGGCGCTCATCGGCGTGGTCTTCCTCATGGTGCTCTATCTCAACCGCAGGGGCATGACGCGCTGGCTCAGCAACCTGCGGGAGGCGTGCCGGGACCAGATGGAGGGCTACCACTACCGCTACGAGCAGGACAGCGACCCGCGCCGCGCCGGCCCCGGCGACCTCTGAGGGCCGGCCGCCTCGCCTCGCCCGCTCCGCCCCCGCGCTTCCCCGGGCGGGCCGGGAGGGCGGCAGAGCCCCGGCCCGCTTGGGCAACCTCTTCAGGGCACCCCAAACCCTCGGCAGAGACCCCTCGCCCCGGGCAAGGCGCGCCGTGTGCCTGCGGGCCGGGCGAGAGGGATCCCTTCCCGCAGTGCCCCAGGAACGGCCGGCCAGGCGCGCTTCCAGCGGCGCCCCCTGCCCAGGCTCCCCAGCAGCCGGTGCGCAGATAGCCTGTCTGTCTCCTGCGCTGGGGGAAGCGCAGAGCCATCCGGACTAGAAGCTGCTGACAGCCTCCTGCTCGGGAATCTGCTTAGACCCCTTTAAGCCGGCCAAATCCGCACGTCCTGTCCCGGGCTAGTAAAATCCGCATTTTAACCACGCAGCTCTCCCGTGGCTTGGCTCCCGGGGAAGCCCCCCAGCGGAAAGGTAGGCACCTTCCTTCCTTTTCCCCTTCTTCACACCCTCGAGCCCCTTTGCCCTTCCCGCTCCTACCCCAGGGTGGCTCCCTCACTCTCAGCTAGGAAATTACCGGGGGCAGTGGTCTGCAGGCCCACTCCGAGGCTGCAGCCCCTCGAAATCCAGCCTCTGGGGCACCCAGCAGCGCCCCCCCACCCCACCCCATCCTGGGCATCCTGGCATGTGGGGCTCCCTGCTGGGGAAGCCCCCAGGCACCTGCTTGGCTGGGGACTCCCAGGAACTGGCCATGCCAGCCTTCCCCAATCGGGTGCTTTCTGATCGTGTTGGATTTTGATTCACCTGGAAAGCACCAGGCCAGGGAAAGCTTGTCTGTAGCTCCAGATGCCCCGAAATTGCACATCCCACCCCCACACACGGGGAGTGCTGCAGGCGACGCTTCTCCACTCCAGACCCCTTACATGGCTGGGGTGCCTCTGCCCCACTTCTGACGGGAGGGGGGCTATTTTGTCCCTTGTTTTGCTCTGTTCCCAAATGGGGAAACCCACAGGCCTCCTTGGGGCTTACTTTCAAGGAAACCCTCAGAGGATTGGGTTGGAGGATTGCCACTTCTCCAAACGGAAAAAAATGGATTTCAATCCCGATATACATTCATGTTTCATGTCCTGTGACCTGGATTGCAGGTCTGTCTAAATTTTTAAAAAGTTGTTTTCCCCACCCCTGTGGGAGTTGACCTCTGGTGGCAGATTCTGGCCTTGGAGCCAATGCGCCATGACCTCCTGCTGGTCAGAGACTCCTTCCAGATATTATGTGCAAGAGGTGGGAACGCCGCTCTTTCTTCATTCCCCCCCCACACACACCGATTGAGCCTTTCCGGTGCCCCATACTGAAGGGGGAGAACACATCCATGGTTGCCGGTGTGAAGTGCTCAGCTCCGTCCTTCTCTCCGCCTCTCCTCACCACGTCCCAAGAAAAAGGTTCTAGCAGCATAAAAAATGCCCAGGATCTTCCGATGTAGCATTGCCTTTGTGCAGGATCTGACTCCTTGCAGACCTTCCCTGCACAAGGTGCATGTGGCAGAATCAGGCCTTCCCAGCATGGGCCATGGGTCTCCCCCCCCGCCGTCCCCCCCCCTTTCTGTCCCCCCCCCCCACACCAGGCTACTCCATTGCCCAGGATATAAATGTCTCAAGGAACCCAGCACAAGCCTCTTTTAAGTGGTCCCATTTAAATCAAGGTTGTTCCAAAGACAACCGACCGTGGCTTGTGGGTTTGCCCTACAATTCTAGAAAAGTTGCTCTATGCCAGCCTCTTCGGACAGCTTCCTTCTGGAGTAGACCAATTGATTTCAGTATAGCTACTCCACAAGTCAAGTGGATTTCGGACTGTAAGCTTTATTTCCTCTAAGGTCACAGCATTGTCTCTGGAATAATCAGGTGGAAAGAAAGTGGAAGTCGCTCTTCCCTTTTCCGGTTTCGTTGCCTCCCCCACCCCACGCGTTGGGAAGTGGTCTCTAGCAAAGTCAGGGAAACCCTCCAGAACCTGGGGTTGAGTCAGGAGGTCAGGCAGACCTTTAACCTGTGCACAGACCTCTTCCTCTGGCGAAACCAGTTTTTCTTGGCAAAAGCTAAGATTTCCGACCGTTGCCTTGAACTGCCGGATGCTCATTATGGACCAAAGCCATCCCGTTGGGGAGAATCTGTACTTTGCAAGTGTCTGAATGCGGCAGGCTCCGTACTGTTCTCTGTCTTTCATCCTCCTGGATTCGACTGGAACTCTGCACCCTGCGCTCCCGCTGCGCCCGGATGAAAGCCGCTCCCGCCTCCTCCGCGCTTCAGTTTCTGTTCCGCAGCCACCAAAGGATCCAGCAGCTGGGACCATGAGAGGCAGAAAACATACAAAGGAAGAGATTGACCAGCGAGAGGAGATGTAATTTTCTCTTTGGATTTGTTTGACAAAATTCATGGATTGATTTCCCCCTCCCCGACCCCGGCACGAGATAATGCAAATACCCCCCAGGAAGGACCCCTTCTCCCAGGCAAGCTGACCTTCCCTGCATGTTTCTGAAGCATGCAGAAGTTACTGATTTCCCAAATGTTGAAATATTATGATGAGTTAGATTAGGGCTATTTCGCTGATCTTTATATCGGGCGAAAATGTGCTCGTTCTAGTTTGAATTTCCACAGTACCTGTTAGAGCAGCTTTGGATGTGACTGGAAGTCCTGCCAGCCGGAGGCCCGAGGTCCTTGGGCGCCCGGCTGGCAGCTCTTCCCATCCCACCTGAAGGTGAGCTGTTAGTCTCCGCCTAGAGCAAGGACATTGAAACATGCATCTCTTAACTGTATTGTATTTTTCTATAAAGCTTATTGCAATAATTTCAGAATATTCTTGGCTGTTGCAAACTTACTCCTTTTATGCCTTTGCAGAAGTGCATTGCAGGCGTTTCCCTCCCTCCCTGCAAGCCACGGTTTGCAAACCGAGAGCTGAATTGGAAATACTTTCTTCTCCTCCTTTTCCTCCCCTTCCTCGGGCTAACCTGGATTCCGCACTGCTTGGGCGCTGATGCCGCTGCAGTTCCCCATGAAAGAGTGAACTGAAGGGCAGTTTGAAATGGGTTTGCAACCGGGGTCATGCTGGAACCATTTTCGCATCAGTGTTTGAAAATAGATGTGGATTACGTTGATGCAGATTTGACTCAGACCATTATGTGCACCAGGAAGGGAATGGGGCGAGCCGATGCGAAGAAAAGCCTGCGCAGGGCTGCCTGGCTCCCAAAGGGCAAACGGGGGTTCTTCGTTACTCAGAAAGCTGCGGGGGGAGCATGCACTCGAGCCTCCTGACATTCCCATGGGAAAATCTGCTTGGGATGGGTGAGAATTCTGTTTCATTTTGCTCTGGATGAGAATTTCCAAAACTTGCACAGTTTCCCATATTCAGACAAAAACTCGAGATTGAAACTATCTGAATTCAGGAGGAAGTACAGTGGAGAGAGTTGTCTGTCGCAGCCCAGGGCTTTCAGCCACGTACTCTTAAAAGTCTGGGTTTGAATCCCTGCATAATCAGAGTTAAACCGGGCTTGTCACTTCTTTTGCTCTGAAAAGTCTTTCATCTTTAACCATTGCCCGGCAGGCGGGCATCGCATTGGCCCTTGACCTTAGGGGGACGGTACTGACCAAATTTACAGATGGCTGAGAATTTTGCTTGTTTGCTTTTGATAAGATTTTGCCCAAATGTGCAGAGTTGGGGGAAAAGAATTTGAATTCTCAAAAATTCAAAGGCAAAGGGAAGTGAACCCGACGGACTGACCCCATCCGACCGTGCGCCAGGGGCTGCTGCACAGACGGATCTGGTGAAGGCAGAATGGCCACGGCGGAGACTTTTCCTGCCGAGTAAACCCAGTTTCACCAGTAGTTCTACCAAACTGGTCACTAGGTCACAGTGACTTGCTTTCTGTGCCAAAGAGGTGTGTCAGCTCTGATTTGGCCAGTTGTTTTTTAAGTTGCAACGTTAGAACTGCTTGTATAATTTAGATATGTATCTGAAAACAAGAAGGAACCTCTTGACACCTCCAAGACCGTAACTCGGTTATCGTGGCATAATCTTTCACGGTCTTCTCGCCCACTGCATCATGCGTGGAGTATTATGGAGACTTTCTGGTTCAGAAAGGGGCAGAAATGGTTGCGAGGCCTTCGAGTGGAAAGATTTGTTTATTTATTTGGTTATTAAAACATTTCTATGCCGCCCCATTTGCCGAAGCCTCGGGGCGGCTCACAACATAAAGTTAAAATACAAAAAATAACAATATAAAATAAGTAACAATATAAAATAAGTAACAGTATAAAAAAAGATGTCATGCAAAGCATGCCCTTTGAGCGAGGCATTGCAAGTGCATAAGAAATTTCTCCTGTGGAAAAGCTCTGGGTGCAAAAGTTAATAACCACATCATTAACGGGGGCCCTTCACAGTCCAGTTGCTGCCAGTGGCTCAAACCGCCTGGCAATAGGTAATGGAATTAGCGCATGCAGCTTGATTAAAAGAAAAAAAATCTTTATCCTGATTCAAGCTTCTGGGGACAGAATTAAACCTTTTGCAGAAGACTGAGTCTGCCGTCTTGCTCTGGGCTCCCTTTGAGGTTCTTTTGCTGCATTTTGGCTGCTGTAAGATCCGTGGCCCAACAACCCAGGGGTTCAGTGGTGGCTGGGTGGTCTCTTGAGAATCACCCCCTTCAGAAGCCGGTGGGAGAGCGCTTCTCGGTCTTCTGAAGGGTGTTATTTGAAGCAGTGTATCAGTGAACTAAAGAAATAAATATATCCTGCATTTTTAAAAGCCCTGACGCTCTATAATGCCCCATGCGCCTGCCCACTACAGAACGACAGTCCGCGAAAATCGTGTGCCGCATAGCTCTTGCTCTGACCGCAGCAGACTTAAGTAACCCCCCCCCCCCCCGGCTCTGCGCCTGGGGGCGGGGGCTCCGAAAACGAGCCGAGCCGCGAGGAGGGCAGCGAACGCTCGCGGAAGGGAGTGGTGCAGGCAGCGGCCTCCTCCTGCCTCTG